GTTATAATTAATGCTGCCACTTCCCCAATGGCTGGTAAAAACCACCAAACAACAACAACAAAATAATAATTTCCTTGACATGATTTCAACCTCACAACTGAAAGGAGTTCCAAGCATATTTCAAACTGTGTTTCCATATTTACATTTAAAAAGAACATTTAATTTCTTCTTTGTTATAATAATGGATTACCCTAACAAAGTTTTTGCTATTTTCCATACTCATCTAGGGTAGAAAATGATCTTTCTAGTTTGCAGTTTCTAGAAAAGGCTTTAGCAGTTGCTTTGGGAGGCAATGCTACCATTTCAATCTTCTAGCCTTAGGCAACCATTCATTTATTTCTGTCTCTTTAGATCTGCATAGTGTGGACATTTCCAATAAACGTAATCATAATATATGGTCTTTGGTGAGAAGCTTCTTTCACTTAGCATAATGTTTTTAAGGTTCATCTATGCTGCAGCATGTATCAGTACTTCATTATTTTTCATTACTGAGTATTATTTCATTGTATGGATATACTCAATTTATTTATTCATCAGTTGATGGGCATATGGGTTGCTGCCATTTTGAGGCTATCATGAATTACACTGCTATTAATAGAGCATTAATATATTCTTCAGTTCTTAAACCATTTCATATATACATCCTTTCCATTATTCGAGCTCTAATGGGTCACTTGTGACATGGGAATAATAAGCATATTTTCAAAGGATTGCCTCTGAGGACTAAGAAAGATGATTTATAAGCTTATTGTTTGTAGACTAAAAATTGCAATCACTATAGAACACATTTAACTTTTAGTATTATTTCTCATATCATTTTTGCCAGGTACCAACCACCAATTCCTTACACCAATTTTCACCATTCAAAGTACACTTAAAAAGTCAAGTTTTTGTTTAACTCCAAGAATGCTAGTGAAGAAAAGGAAAGAGGGGATGAAAGTCAAGATGGATTTCCAGGTCTTTGTGGTAGCTCTTATTTTCTAAATACTTAATATGTTCAAAGCACCATGTAGTGATACAAGTAATGAGATTTACTCCCTGGTGTCAGTTTAGGGAAAACATACATATAGCAAATTCCTTAAAAATAATTATTAGTTAACAAACTTAACTGCAATATGACTTGACATGGTGAATTTTTCACTTACCATTTTTATATGTGTACATAATACATATATATTACATAAAATATGTATATAAATTATATAATCTATGTATAATACATATTATATAATATATGCAACTATAAATTGCATACACAATTTATAATATTTAATACATATACTACATACAAATTATGTGTAAATATAAACTTCATATAATTAATATATATAATCCATATTTAATTAATGATTATTAAGGAATGAAAACAAGTTTCATTGAGTGCAGCACTTCCACAGCATCATCTTTCAGGATTTGAAATAGCTCAACTGGAATTCCATCACCTCCACTAGCTTTGTTCACAGTGATGCTTCCTAAGGC